GAGCGGCGCGTTTTAACCATTGATCCTACGGCGATGAGGCGTTTGTGGGAGGCTGGGAAAACTGAAGTGGTAACGAGTCACTTAGATTTTCTCTGCTTGTTCTATGATCTGTTTTTTTTTTTAAACCATTTTACAGATTATTTCAGCAGGGGAGATTATCAATTTTCACCAGCAGAGCAGATTATCAATTTTCACCTAGCAACAGTCACAACACACAAAAAACCAAAATGATCATTTAAGGATTTTCTTCTTCTCTGTTTCGTTTATCAAACTCAACTCAATTTTTTTCTCTGTCGTTTCATTTTATTCCTGTTCTTCCTCATTAATCACCAAAAAAAAAAAAAAAATCTCAACATTACCAACTCTAATTCCAGTTTTTTATTGGTAACCTCAGGTACATAACTGCTCACACGTTCCTCCAAGTATTACTACATCTTTACTTTGAGTACTTTTTGTTACCAGTCCGTTCATTTCTAATACTTCAAAAATCGTCAGTCTTTTCACTTTTTTCCCCCTCAGTTATTTTACGGTGATGTAAAGAGTAGTCGCGGAGCTGGATTCTCACACCGTGTGACAGCTGTATCTGAGAAAACACTAAACCAGTACAACCAGTACTTCCCCTCTCTCCTGCATCCGACTCAACATCTGCCACAGAAGAAGCCCCCCACCCCTGCCCTTGAGAGTCCTCTGACTCCTTCCTCCTAGGACGTGTTAGGAAATCATTAAAAGTGTGTAGTGGGGGTAGAATTAGGTGCAGGGGGGCTGGGGTGGGGGGTGGTAGGTTAGGGGTAAGCATCAGCCAACACGCAGCAGCTCCCAGTTCAGAGCTGCCCCCAAAACCTATTTACACAGCCATCCCTAGTTAGTCTTCTAAAAACAGACCTAAACTCCCATCACTCCTCTGACCTTCAGAATGACTCGTCTCAGCATCTTTAAGTCTCCCACACCCCCGGACCCCCCCCCAATAGACACTTCCTCCGCCGTCACAATCTGTGTTCAATGATCACTGCTTCATTAACTGCATCTTAAAAACACAGTTTATCATCAATACTGTAGTTTTCTGCAGAAATAACACAGTTAAGAATTTGGGTGGGGCAGAGTGGAGTGGGTTTGGAGGCACGGTGCCCGTCAGACTCAAGGGTAGCTGTGTGAGAGAGTCTTTTCAGTAAGCGGTGACTGCCACCTGCAGGACGAAAGGAGTTACGCATGAATAAGGAGGAGGGGGACCACTCCCAAAAAAAAAAAAGATCTCCACAAGTCTGAGGGATATTAATACTTGAACAGGTACAAGTGAGTGACAGCTGTGCACTTAAAATCTGAGGCTAAAAATGGTTCACTTAAAAAAAAATAAATGTTTTTTTTTTGCAGATGACTGCTGCAACAGCAGGCCAACTCCCTGGGATTAAGAGAGGGGAACAGGTATGACTGAACAAAGAGCGCCATCCTGTGTTTACATGCGAGACTTCAGAAAATTCTATATAAAAATAAAATAAAAAAAAGACATTTTATTTTTTCAATTTTTCTCTGGAATAAACAGCAGTTTTAATGTGGATTTTTCCAGGAATTAAAAAAAAAAAAAGTCCAGTCAACACGTGCAGGTCTGCAGGAAGAAGAGGCAGACAGGAAGTTCCAGTGTCAGACCCCCCCGCCCCCGGTGGTATAAATAATAGAGGAGCTCAGAGCTTTTAGCTGACATAACAAACCACTCTATATATATTACAGCCACTTAAGGCGTATTATCTCCAATGACTGGTGCAGCCTGTGGTGAGGAAAGAGAGTGGCAGCCTATCCCTTAATGCCGTCTAAAAAAAAAAAAACAACTGGAAAGAACAATATTTTTATTGTAGAAAATACTAATGTAGTATATAAATAATTAAATAATAATTATAATACTTCATAGTGTTGAAGGGAAAGTAGATTCATCACCGTGGTGAACTAAGTGAGGTCAATTTTAATATTTGGCGTAAGCGGGTTTGGTTTGGATTAGTAAAGGCCCAGCACAGGGGGATTATGGGATTTCTCTTCATGTCTCTGTAGGACGACGCCCATTTGCACCAACCACAAAAATGTCAGGAAATGACAGGACTCTGACCTCAGACCTGTTTCACTTAGGTGAAAATGACAGATCAGGAAGTCAAAGTATTTTTGTCAAGTATTTGTGTTCTTGAAGTTTCTGAAAGTATTTTTTTAATTTGATATATTTATTTTATATGTATTAGATATTTTCACAAGCAAACTGTACTTGGGAAGAAAATCAAATTCAAATCATTTTTTTAGCTTGTTGTGGACATACTTTACATTTCTAAATGAGTTTGTTGAATACCTGAAATATTGATGAGTAAGACTTTTATCTTTTTTGTCTTTAGTCTGTTGAAAAAAAAAGTTTATGAAATATTAGATATATATTTTTGTAGATGAAAACAATACTGATTATTTCAAATACATAAAGCTCTCCCTCTGGTTTGGCCACAAAAAAAGAAAAAAAAAACTTATTATCCAATGCCATGAGCTGGAAGACGGAAGTCATTACGGTGTGTTATGTAATTTCATCATAAAATCCAAAGGATGCTGTATAATTCCACACAGCTGAAATCGACACAAATACAGCTACTATATAATCACCAGCTGGGGGCAGTGTTGACCCAGCTTTAACCCTGGCAACAGGCGCGCCAAGCAAAGCGCCTCCTCAGTCTGTGCACCTCCTCCAGAGCTAATGAAGCTAATCCATCCCGTGTATACAACACACAGACACACACACACACACACACACACACAGACACACACCTGCGGGCGACTTCAAAATAATGGAGCAGAGAATAAAAAAAACAAAAAAACAACTGCAGCTCTGCTGCACCGCCACAAGGCTGAGTCCTGGATGAGAAGAACTCTCTGAGCTCCTCAGTCAGGCTATTTTTGGTGAATAGGTTCGATCCCCGGAAGCCTGGATTTAGCCTATACATTCACACACACACACAGGGACTTAGTGATTCCTATATATGAACCACCTGAGGCTTTAGCTGCCGCGTTCAGACACCGCAGCTGAGCCGATGGAGCGATAGCTGTGTGTCACGGTCACGACATCAGAGCAGGAGAAAAAAAAAATTATATATATATATATACGACACCACAGAAGAACAAGAAAGAGGGAAAAAAATGAGGCCGGGGCAGATTAAGATGAGGGTGAAGAGAGGGGGGAGAAAAAGTGCAAAATTTAGAATATATGAGGTAAAATTGACTTTGTCAGGGTCGAAGGTCGTGTAACTTTCGTCATCTTTGTCGTCTACTCCTTGAGTGACAGTTTTGGTGATTAAGTAGAGAGCTGTTCTGATTTCACCCACCCGCTGATTATAGTAATTCTGTCTCCCACACGGGGTGACCCCACCCATACGCCGCCACTCCTGCCTGTGCGAGGAGCCACCATTCGCTTAGCTCGTATGCTACTGACGTATCACTATCATGTAGGAAAAGTAAGTAAAAAGTAAAAAAAAACAACTAACTATTAACATCTGTCAAACATCCAGGTTCATTCTGGACAACTTCTTGTTCTGGTTCCGACTCTGGTTCAAACATATACAGTCAGGCCAATAGGTGTGCGTCCTGTTAGTTTACCATACCTGCCAGAATGGCATACGCTACCTCACTGCACACGTGCACAACAGAAAATGCTCGACTGTCAGAATCCGCAGTTTCCTCTCTCGCAGCTCAACCGTTGCCATGGTTACACAACGCCATTCACAGCGCTGCGTAGAAGAGGTGGGCGGAGTCAATGCACTCATTCATTACCATTAAAAGGCACAGGCCTGGGTGAGGCAGGAAGCTCGACGCAGCCTGGTGTACATTTCCACCACAACGCAGTGCATTTCCTGAGCTGATGCTGCACATGTACCCTCCACGTCTGGGGCATTAAGGCTGTGACAGGAGGCACACGGAGGTGTGGTGCAGGCGGCCTAGCATTAGGACTAGCCTGCGGTGAGGCTGACTGGACGAAACGACTGAGACTAGAGCTGAAAACAGATTGTTTGTTTTTAAATTTAAATATAAAAACTTGTTTTAACCACGCTTGGTTACATTTGAAAGTAAGAAATTAGAGATTTTTAGGTGAAATTCCACCCACTGCACTGGGCCCAGATCAGCATGGGAAACATCTAGAAGGAAAGCTAAGCGTCCGACTCTTCAGTTCAGAGAAATGCTTCACAGATTCAGCTCCATGACCTAAATTCCTGAGGAAGCAATGAGAGAAACGCAGGCTCAACAAACACGAGCCCTGATGCTGAGAGCTCAGAGGCATGTCCTCCTCTCCTCTCCAACCCCCCCAAACCAATACAATACAATACAATACAGTATAAGTCTGACATAACACAAAAAGGGAAGTGAAAGGTAAACAAATAGGACCAGTAGATGTGAAAGTGGCCTGGAGGGTAGATGGGCAGAAAAGGCAGTAGGAAAATATTCTAAAGGTCACATTTGCATTTATGTGATAATGAAACACAGTGAGACGAGTAGAGGGGGTGTGGGGTGGGGTGGGGGGGTGACAGAGTACACACTGTTTTATATGGACGGTGACATTTATATGCAATAAAACAAAGGAAGATAACGTTAACTCTCGTCTGTCTGACGTAACAAGGCCACAGTGGTCAGGGAGAACAGTACGATATACTGTCATACTATTGGCTGGCCAAACACTGAGGGTTTTTTTTGGTTTGTTTTTTAAACAATTTGTTTATAGTCAAACTGTCATACAGTAAACACACAATGCTGTTCTATCTTAACATCATGTTACCAAAACTGTTGATTGTTAATAAAAAAGAATTATATATTTCATGTGGTTAATTGTGTTTTTTTCTAACAAAAATATTATCTATAATAATAATAATAATAGAATCTATAAAAATCTGAGAATATATTTTAATGTCTCATTCAAAGAATTACAGCCATAATCTAATCTAATCTAATCTGATCTAACGACCAGATTGAGGATTAAGGACTGTACCAGCACTCACCAGCAGTGGAGCTGTGAGACTGTCAGCAGCGAGGAGGCCCAGCCTGGCAGGTGGTCCAGGGTCACAGTCCTCCAGCAGGGGTCAGCCTCTGGAAAAAAAAACGACGACAACAACAACATTATTATTAAAAATGCAGTGGTTGAACAGCCAATCAGAGGTGGCAGATTCTCTTTTTTTTTTTTTAAACGCCACATCACAAGCAGAACTATCTAAACAGAGAAATGACCACGCCTGAACTGTCTAGACGGGGGGGGGGGATTAAATTACATCTAATTGGGCTAAAAACTTGTATTTATTTATTGCATACATTTGTTCTTTTCTCATGAAAACTAAAAAAAAAGGATAATCTGAACTGAAGAAGACGATCTTTGTGAGTGTCTTTCTTCAATTCCTGCCAGTATATCAGCGTTGTCTTCAACTAAACAGGATGAGATTTTAGTCAATTCTGAGGTCATTTAAACCAGAAGATTATTATATTTCATTACATTTACTTTGGGTGAGTTTCTTGTTTGTTGAAACACTGTATTATACACACACACTCCTGAATGTTCAGCTCTGCTGGGCCACATTAAAATGAGGTGATGGGCCAGGAGCGGCCCACCAGCCTAAGTTTGACACGTGGTCTATACCATATTTGGTAAGGTTGTGATAAAAGTCTGGCCTTCACGCACTACTGAGGTTTCCTGATGTAGTGTGAACTGTTGTTGAAACACAACATGGAACAATTAGATGAAAACACACACACACACACCCCACTTCCTATTACGCAACACTTCCTCTGATTCACTTCAGTTTTCTGCAGCCCCCCCGCCCCCTCCCTCAGGCTTCTTCCTGCATGAGCGTCAACTTCATTCCCTCCGACCACCTCAACTCAGTCACAATAAAAAAAAAAAAAAAGCGCCTACGCAGGACTGTGAACAATCTGCCTTGCTCCTCACCACACGCGCGACAC